AACGCGGTGTGTGAGCACGCCACAATCGCAGTTTTGCTTTTGTTCGTATGCCAATGGGCCATTGGGTCATTTGTGCAACAGAAAAAACCCCACTCAAGAGAAAACAAAGAAGTGAAAACGGATTCAAGTGAAGCACCCCACTGCGTATATCGATGTATGTACTAGTGTGGAGGGGGTGCGTGTGTGTGAACTATTACAGACACAAAGAAGGGGGTGCCATCAAATCATCTGGAGCACCACTGGTCTAGTGGAGCGGACAGAGGGCTGGGAGCCCGCTGGCCTGGGTTCCATCTCTGCCTCACTATTGACTCACTGTGTGACCCTGGGCAAGTCACATCACCTCCCAGCCTCAGTTTCCCCCAGCTGTAACATGATACATCCACAGCCTTCGCAAAGGGATTCGAGATCTGAGGATGGAAAGCACTATGTAAGCACAAAAGACACACTGCAGACCATGGTCAATAAACTTTGTCGTATTTATTCTGAGGTGAAAGAGGCTTGGCAAAGCTTTGCTACACCCAGCTCTGCCAGTGTACTTCAGCCCTGACCCGCAGCCCCTCTCCCTATTCCAGTCCCGGGCCCCAGCCACCCACAGCTACCCCAATACCCCTTCAACCCTGATCTGCAAGCACCCTCCGCTATTGCAGTCCGGAGCTCCCGTCTGGGAGTACACAGCTCCATTACTGCAGCTTAACCCTGACCCACAGAACCTCTGCTGATGAAGGAAAGCTTCAGACAGAAGCATAATGGAAGCGGGTAGACGGTACAGCGATGCTCAGTGGCTCTCTCTGGCGAGGGGGCTTAGGGGCTATCTGATATACAGACGCAGTCTAATAAAACCCTCTCCTCGGCAGCCCTCCCGGAATACTTATCTAATCACAGCAAAGGGCGCGATAAACTCCCTGCCCCGAGTCCTCTCTGCATTGACAGTTCACTAAAGATACAAGATCGCTCAGTGACATTACAAATGTCAGCAAGCAGCGATTAGGCTTGGTGGAGGGGACACATTAGCAAGCAGGGGGGAAGGGGGAGTCAAACTTCTGTCAACGCGTTCAGCTGCATGGAGCAATTTTTCCTTTGGCTTTTGTCCTCAGCGAAAGACAGCTCTGCCCATCCCAAGGCCCCGCGATCCAACAACCTTCCCTGGTGGAGGAGAGCCAAAGGAGACAGCTGTCCCCCAACGCGGCTGGTACCTCAAACACAAGGGTTTGCTACGGAGCAACAAGCATGGGACCTCAGCGGCCCCAGGCCCCAGCCCACCCCTTCTGTTGACTTGAGGAGCGAGCCTCAGAACCAAACCTCAGCTCTTTCTTCCGACAGCACACGCTGCCAGGCTGGTCTGTAACGTACACGTCAAGTCTTGCATGGGTGCCAAAGCATTTCTTGCTACGTATAAAGTTAAACTAAAGCTCTCAATTCAAACTAGTCTCTCTGAGTCTCTTACCAGTGCAGAGAGAGAGCATCACAAATACGCTGGTGCAGAGGGATAAGAATGGGCAGGTGGACAACTCATCTTGCGACACGCGACCTCATTTGCGACACCATCAGTAGGGCACCCAAGGTCAGAGTGTGTGAACGAATTCCCAGACTGCTTTAGAGTCAGCAGCGGGACTTTAATATCTAAGCAAAACGCTGGAGACCGAAGAGCAGCCTCAGCGGCCCCGTTTCCATTAAAAAGGCAGCGTGCAAACATGGCGTGGGCTTTCCGCAGGGCAAGACGCACGGCTCACTGGGCGAAGCCAATAAAACAACAGTAACAGATTGTGTGTCAATTTGGGGTATTAGCGACGCAAAAGACAACGCTCCCCTCCTTTGCCACTGTGTTTTGCTCCACCCACAGCAGCTGAGTCCTTACTCAACTCATCCCAATACACAATGCAATTTAAGACCCTTTTCCAGAGACCACTAATAAACTATCCCAAAAACATATTTGGTGCTGGGGGAAATTGGTCCCAACACGCACGTTGGGGCTTCTGCAACAGGACGCGCGGTTACTTTGAAGCAGTATATAAGGGTATCTTTGGTAGAATTATGATGCTAGTATGGTACATGCATTTTCATCAACCAACTTCACTCCTTTCCAAGCCTAGATGGTAACCACAGGCTGGTGCCACTGTTAAGTGGGAGGTTTCGGGACTTGCATTACAGGGTTGCTGGACGGGGGAAGGTGATCAGCAGGTGCCAGTGGCCCATTTCAGCAAGGTATTAAGGCACATGCCCAAGTTTAGGCACGTAAGTAGCTGCGCTGAAGGCCAGTGGAACTACTTGGGCTGGAAGCTGTGTATCTATGCACATGCACACACAGAGACACTGAAACGTGCCTGTAATTTTTCAAGTCACGTGCTCCCATTCTTTGGGCTTACTTAAGTTTGTGGCAGTGATTCCTTTTAATTGGGTAGTGTTCTCCTATTACCAATGAACTCAAATGCAGGCCCATGCTAGAGGTGACAGAGCAGAGGTTTTCCTGTGCTGTGGAAAGACTGCTCTAGTTACATACTTCATATAAACTCAAATACATTGTTTTCTTAACATTTGAAACCAGAGTCTCTGCGTGAGCCACGCCCTAGAAACTGGCCATTTCACATAAATCCCAGCAGCTTGACCAAGATTTTCCTCCAGGGGATCAGGTCATAGGCGCAGGCAGATGATTTGGGAATATGACAGGAGGGACAGGAGGAGGGGACGTCGGACTGTTTGAGCCATTGGGAGGGGGTGGGTCCCCGTTAGGTTGCTCTCCTACCTGGCCATTATTATTTATCTCTACTACAGTAAGGACTGGAAGCCCCAAATGAGACCAGGGCCCCTGTGCTGGGCGCTGCTCGGACACAGATAGACCCTGCCCTGAAGAGCTTACACAGTAACCAGATAAGGTGAAACAGAGACCCCAGAGGGGAAAGGACTTCGCTGAAGTCGCAGCCGGGTCTCCCTATGCCCAGGGTATTCCCCTACCCAACAGACGCACTGCCTTCCTGGGTGTGTTTGGGGCTAGGACCGTGTCAGGGACTGCAGGAGAATTGAGCAGCTGGGAGGAAATCCAGGTCCCTGGTTACCCCATACTCTCCCTGCAGTACTAGAGAAGGCCACAACTAGGCAAAATGTTTACCTAGGGCAGAGTTTCCACACACACCTCCCCATGCTCCCCAGATGTGAACACCCTTCAAGGACAGGGAGCTGTGAGTGGTAGGAGAGGAGCTACCCCGAGAGGTGAAGCATCTCTTTTCCCTCTCAAGCTGGGCTCGCTCCCCGCCGGGCTGAGGACGAATGGGACCGGCTAGTGAGCACTCACGGTTAAACAGCCTCCCAGCCCCAGCCCACGACCCCTTGATGCCAAGTGCAGAGCTGGGAGAGAGCTACGTGAAGCGAGTCTTTCCCTCCCTCTCCCACTGTAGCCCTGTGCTTCGCTGAGAGCTCAGTGAGGGCTTAGAGTATCAGCTGAAACAAGATCCATGAAAACCCCCTTGCCCGCATGTCTAACTGGAGTATGATGAACCCAGACTCCTAACTTGCTAAAGCAGGTAGCCGAGGGCTACTGCAAACAGCCATCATTTATTTGTCTTGGGGCCAAGAGGCAGAGCACAGCTTGGGGCTCAGCCGGTTAATATCAAACATCACAGTGCAGGGGGTTTGGTTTGGGCTTTTTTTTTTGTTTTGATTCCCCCCCCCAATCAACCTGCTGGTTATATAGCTGCTATCCATTCACCAGAAGTTTAGTGAACTTCAAATGGCGATCATGAACGGTCACTGAACTGCAGAATGCCCCAATGTGCTTTCAGATTTCATTTACAGAGGCCCAGCAATCAGCCAAAAGATTTGCTCTGACAGCAGGGAATGCAAGATCCCCTTGACAAGTTCAGCGGGGAACGGGCTGCCAGCATCCCTTGTTACGGTCATGTTCCACCCTGTTTGATGGAGTAGATCATGCAAATTGTCCTTTTGCTGCTGCTCGGCCTGTCACTCACATTGTCATTTAAAACAATAAAACAAACAAAAAGCCGAAGTTAAAACCCAAAATTCCGCAGAGCTGTTTTCATGCAAGTTCTGTTTACCAAGTCCCTAATTATCAGGACAGGGCTAGTCGCCAACACCGTTCGATTCAATGGCACAAGCAGCCCCAGTGATGCAAAAGCCTTTAAAGGAATTATCACCACAGCTTTAATCTGCACAAGGCCCTCGTGCCCCTTTCACAGCCCCTGCAATCACCCGAGTTTTCTCTCCCCCTCCAATTCGCACCACTTGGCAGCTCTGGCATCACACCACCTTTCCCTTGCAGCAAGGAAGGCCGGGACAGGACTTCCTTCAGACCCACCCAGGCCAGTCCTCCATCAGCCAGAAGGGACGACCTAGAGCAAGGCAAGACGCTGCTCATGCTTTGAAAGGCCCACAACAGGGAATGAATCAAACCTGGGTCTCTTGTGTGGAAGTGCAGAGCATTAGCTGTGGAGCAGGCCCTTCATAGTTCCAGGGGGGTATTTTGGCGGGGGGAGGGGGAAGAAGGGTTGGGGGGTGGAGAGGGGGAATTGTTTTTTGAAAATGTGCATAAAGAAGACATGTATAACTAGATGCTTCCCTATATGCACTTCAAGCCTCCCCGTGCTGAGGAACTGCCAACCAGGCTTCAGCCGGGAGGGAATGTGATCTTAGGAGCTCTAAACCCCTGGAAGAGAAAACACAGGGCAAGCACCGTACAAGCTGACACAACCTTCACTGGAGAGGTGCCTCCAAGTGCTGTGCTATTATGCATAGAGATAGACAGTGCTAGGCCAGCCACAATGGGATTCTCCACAGCTGCAGAACATATTCCATCAAGTACAGTAAGACTCTATTAGCGGAGATACAATACGGAGCTGGAGAAGGACTCGCTCAGCCCCAGCCTCTCTGAGAAAATAACTCCTTCATTTCAATGCAAAACAGCAGTAGTTATTAAACGCCACCTTGAAGAGCAGAAGAGGAAGGGAGAGCGGGAGGGGATGGGGGGACCGTGGCGGTTTGCATAAAAGTACCTTTTTCAGATTAATCCACTGTTTGAAGTAATCAGCAACCGGCAGCCCTAAGTACTGGCATTGTCCTGGTAACCTGTAAGAGAGGAGAGAGAGAGCAGGTTCGATTCAATTACTGCATCCTGACAACACAAACTCCAAGTTTTATTATGCACTTTTGGTGGTGAGGAGGAGGAGGAGAAAGCGAGATCCTTGAGTCTACTTAAATGTGCTGCACTTCAGAAGGATCCCAGGCACTTGGCAAGCGCTTCCTGAGAGCTGGAACTCAGCTGAAATCGTAGGCCCTGGCTATGCGCCGGTTACGTGTGCAGGCTGCCAAACTATCCTCACGTGGGCTGTTTGTAACAAGGAGGGTGGGCGTTTTACATGGGAGCGGTGTGTACCTTCAACACTACGCCCAGCCCTCCCCTGGGGAGAACATGGCTGGAGCATCTGGGCTGTCATGAATTGTATTCCCCAGTAACGGAGGAATGGCAGCTCCCTGCCCCAGCGAGTTTACATACCAAAGAGACTTGACAGACAATGTGACTGCCAAGCCACAGGACACAGGTGACCCAGCTAAGCCTCAGGGGCGACAGTTTTCAGACACTTCCTACATGGCGTCCCCTGCCACACTGTTTTACGGGCTGCAGGGCCAGCATATGCATGGGTAAGCTGGACAATGCCAGCCCAGGGCTATGGATTTCCACCCAGCAGGATTTTTAGGCCCAGACGTTTAAATACGTGCTCAGGTAATTGTATGGCTAGATCACAGGTACTCAACAGCTCAGCCCCTAAGAGACCACCTCTCCCCTGACACACCCGCAGCAGAGGCCCCGGAGCTGAAGCCCCACTGGTAAAAGAGAGAGGGAGCCATTGAAAGGGGTTGTTCCCCTTTGGGGCACCAGCAAGGCCTGCCCTCGCCTGTGAGAAGGCAGGCACTGGGTCTGGCTGGAGAGCAGTGCCGTGGGACTTCCGTGCGGATTACGAAGGCAAGTTCGTTATATTTATTTTCAATTTGATCTGATGTGAGGTAATCAGTGGGCCTGCTCGTTTGTTGTTGAAGTTGTCCACAGCGCTGGACAGAGGCTCTTTTATTGGAGAGCAGAAACATTCCAGATAAATAAATAAAGAGACTAATTAGATCCACGTGTGCATGTAATGACCACAATCCCCGTAACGGCCTGTGTAGCTAACAGGAGACTTGGCATGCCGCAGCCGCGTTACGGTTAGCCGAGGTCAGTGCCAGGAGGGTGGCACGCAGGCTGCAGGGAAAACCCTTGCTTATGGGTGCTGCCAGCAAATCCATGGGAAGCTGAAGAAGGGAAGCTGGAAGACATCTGGGGAGGACACCAGCCAACAGGGCATTCTTTGCACCCATTCAAGGTCAGGCGGGCTCCTGCCCACACCAGCACCAGCGATGGTCAAGAACAGAATACGCTCTCGCAGCCCCAACCCAGAGAAGTGCAGAGTGGGGGGCACACAGCACCTTTCTGGACCCAAAGTTACTCCAGACAGAGACCCAAATGAAACCCCGTCCGCAGCACTGAGCTTGTCGATAGGAGAAGCTGCCGGGGCAGCACAAGGGCTGTTCTAAAGGTGAGTTACTGATTAAGCAATAAGACATGCAGCCCCTTCCTCTCCGGGCATGGCTTGTAGGATGCTAGAGCCAGCTGCCCTGAAATATACCCCCGGGGTCACTTACTGCTAGTCCGGAATAGAATTCACACATTAAAAACAGCCTGAGGCATGCATTTTACTAGGCTTTGCAGACCTGGGCATGACATCATGGAGGGCCAATCAGACAGGGCCAGCGGCAGCCCAAGTTCCAGAGAAGGAAGCTGTTTTCCACTTGTTCCCAAACCAAAGGCAAGTTCAGAAAGAAACGGAGCCCTCTCAAACAAAGGACCCGTCTAGCGGCTACACCTGCCAATCTCTGACTGCTGCTATGTAACCACACAGGAGCTTTACAGCAGTAAACAAGCAGGTTCCTTCTTCTAGCCCTAGCGGTATGAACACAGAGGATCCAATCCATCCCCAGTTAAAGTACATGGAAAGACTTCACTGACTTTCCCAGGAGATCTGGCCCCTCCCGCCAACCTGCCACCGGGCCTGGGGACAGTCTCGTCTCCTCTCCGTGCTCCAGCTCGCCCAACCGTAAATCGGCACCAGGGGCACCGACTCATCTTTGTGAAGCACGGCGACACATCGGCAGTGGGGTCGGGCCCAGGACCTCTGGATCCAAAAGCCTGAGCCTCGACTGCCCGAGCTAACAGGCCCGGCCTGCTGGCTCACGAGCAGCAGTGGTCCAGCCACGAGAGGGAGGCAGAGAGCCCAGTTGTGTGAGCACTAGGGACTGTAATTGTTACACCGCGGGTCCGCGCTCTATCCGCTGGGCAGAGCCCGCACTCTACTGTTACAGCAGCGAAGCATGGGTCAGGGCCTCATTCCGCTCTCGGAAGAGCGGAGCAGGTTCTCTCCCAGCGAGCTCCGTGCCCCCCACTGGCACATGGACCCAGGTTCGCTGAACAGGGCAGACTGCGCAGCTCACCTTCCCGGCTTGAACTGAGCGAGCAGGACGCAGCCTCCCTCTCCCAGCCCGCCCTGCGAACCAGGGAGTTTGCAGACATGCATCCGCGTGCACTGCTCCGGATCCTTCTGGTTTGTCAACTCGCCCCCCAGTTACTGCCCCCCTTCACACACATACACAGACGGATACAGTGAAGCCACTGAACACTTTAGGTTTCAGAGTAGCAGCCGTGTTAGTCTGTATCCGCAAAAAGAACAGGAGTACTTGTGGCACCTTCGAGACTAACACATTTATTAGAGCATAAGCTTTCGTGGGCTACAGCATATGCATCCAAAGAAGTGGGCT